AAGTAAAACCAATCAAAGATAAAAACCAATAAACCATCCTCTGCTCCCCTTAAGAAAATTTGCTTATTCACCCCCTCACAAAGGAGATTGCCCTGTTTATCTGCCCGGAGAGCTCAGACATTCCTTGCATGTGCAGCACAGATGGTCACCACACCACAAAAGGCAGAAAGGCTCACGGTGGACGTGTCTGGTTTCTGGATATATAGAAACCTGGTCAGAGCTTCTGCTCCAGCAGGGCTGCTATGCATCCAAAATCCCAAACAAATACAGAAAGCCATCAATATCCTTTGAACAACCTTAGTGGAAAAGGAGACCGTCCAGGGAAAAGGAGCTGCACAGTGACCTTGGTTGTGAGTCTTAATTAATTAGTGTACATAGATTGCTGTAAGATCCCAAGGTGGGAAGTGCTAAGGAAACAGAAGTATTATTTATTAAAGCTCAAGGCTCTGTTGTTTCTTTATCCTCAGATATTCTTCACATCTGTTTTTGCATTCATGGCCATTGCTACTTCAAATTATTTCAGCTGTCTTGATCTTTTCTTTACCAAATGGAATAGCCCCAGGCAGAGGATATGCAGTATCTAGTAGCTCAGATACCAGGTTGGCTCATTGCAGTTATTTATCTTATTCTTTTCTAATTTATTTACTGTTCAGATCCCAGTCCTGCTCTTCCTTTGATTTTATAGCTAGACACCAAATGTGGCTACTCTCCACGGATAGAAATTACTCTGACAGTAAATGCCATTAATATTTTTACTACCTCACTAAATTCATTTCTACAGCATGTGGAAGGAGTCTACAAGGTCTGTTTTAGCAAACTGGGTGTAAAAATCATTGCTAATTCTTCTGAAAATTGGAAGACAGAGCAGTTTGGCAGTAGCCATTTTAGTTCCCAAGGTGGGCAATACAAATTGTAATCAAAGAATAAACTTGGGGGAACTGAAAAAGCAGCGCAGAAAGTTAATTTTGTAACACTCTTATGTTCTGTGACACAAACCTTACATAAGTTTTTGTCCTCCTTTAAGAAATTATTGAGTACAGAACCGTGTTCTATGTCATAGATAAAAAAATCACTGAACTTATTTCTGCTTTTGGAGAAGTCATTCAAACTTTCAGTACTTAAAATACATCCCTCTTTCTCTTCAAAAACAAAGGGCACAAATCTCTGCTTTTTTCCTCAGCTTAGTAAAAACATAAATAAACCAGGAAATTAAAGACAAAAAAGAAAAAAAAAAAGAAAAAAGAAAGATGCAAAGCTACCTTTTCCACATCCTGTTGTGCCTAAATAGAACATGTTGTACCAGCATGTACGATTTCTCAATAAAATGTATTGTGGACACTTCAAAAGCTGACCATAATCAGGAGAGTTAAGTGAGGAATGTCAGCTTGGATGGGGGATTGTGCTGCTTTTGTTATACATTAGTTAAGCATGAAGGTTTGTGGGTTTTTACTTTATCTTGGATTTTACTGGAGTGTAATTGAACTCTGTTACCTTTTTCAGTTTCCTAAGTGTTCCACTAAGTGCTTGTGTGGATTTGGGTTTAAGGATATTGTAGACAGATCCAGAAGAGATTGAAGTTCGTAGCAGAGGCCTCTGAGGAGTTTGGCTAGTCCTGCACTGTGGAAACTAGGTCTTCCTCGCTTCTTAATCCTCCTGGGATCAGCCCTCAGACATGTGCAGAAATAAGGATTCAAAAAATTGAATTTGTTATGGATCCACAGGCAAACCTCACACTTACACCAGCAAAACCAGGTTTCACAGAAGCGTGTCTTTGATTGTAACAGGACCATTCACTTTACATGAATCTTATACATTAAAATCATAGCCTTTACAGGGTTACATCCTTAACAGCAATTCCAAGTTTGGGGTGTCCCATTAGCTGTGTCTGGCCCCTCCCAATCTTGGACCTCTGTCATTTTCACCAAAGCACAATTTATTTCCTTCAGTTACCTCATCACACCTGAGTCTTCATATACATACTACAGCAATAAAACCATAATTTTTGCAGTAGGATGCTTGAACTCCTCAGACAGTGGTACCTTCATGTAACCAAACATAACAAACAAATAGTCAACAAACTCACTTCAGTAGATTTCACTACCTCTGAAACAGCCTATATTTATACAAAAAACACAAGTTTAGGCTTCATGTGTCAAATACTGCATCAACACCCCTTTTATAGCCACAGCTCTGACGGGAAAACCACCCCAAACCCCATTTAAAAACCAGACTCCTCATCCACTGCAGACACACGGGTGGATGTTTCATATCACTGTATCACAATTTCCTTCATGTCTTCACAAGAGAACACTGCCTGGGTCTGGAGGAAAGGACCTGCAAGCAGGGACCATTTTAACACTCCCTCTGGGGTGATGTGGGGAGCAGCACCTTACTGAGGGGAAGAGGCCTGCTGAGGGGAGACCCACCACGGTGGGAACCCACCTGAGGGGGACAGACCCCTCATGGCGGGAACCCACCTGAGGGGGAGACACCCACTATGGTGGGAACCCATTGGATGAGGAGAGACCCACCATGGGTCTCTGAGGGGAAGAGGTTTTCTCCCCATGGCAGGAACCCACTTAGGAGGAATCCACTGTGAGAGAGACCCTCTCCAAGTTGGGAGACCTGCTGAGGGGAGACCCATCATGGCAGGAACCTCCTGATGGGGAGAGACTTTCTGATGGGAAAGACACACTGAGGGGAGACCGACCATGGCGGGAACATTCTGAGGGGGAATCTACTGCGGGGCAGACATTACAGGGAGACTCACCACGGGATAGACTTGCTGAGGAAGAAATCTGCTAAGGGGAGAGACACTCTCAGGGGAGACCCACAATGGTGGAGTAAGAACACATCCACAGTGTGGGAGACACTCTCTGAGGGGAGAGACCTGGCATGGCTGGAAACCCCTGATCAGGAATCTGCTGTGAGGGAGACACCCATTGAGGGGATGGTGTATCCACACAGTCTGAGGGGAGAGACACATTGCAGGGAGACTCACCATGGGACAGACTTGCTGAGGGAAGAGATGCACTGAGGGGAGACTCACAATAGGGAGAACACACTGCGGTGGAGACTGTTTCTGAGGGGAGAGACTCGCTGAGGGAAGATCTGCCATGGTGGGGACCCTCTGAGGGAGAATCCACAGCAGGGAAGACACTCTCTGAGGGCAGAGACCCACTATGGCGGGAGCCACTGAGAGCATATCCACAGTAGGGCAGACACTCTCCAAGAGGAAAGACCTGCTGAGGGCTTAGATCTGCCAAGGGATAGACTTTCAGAGGGAAGAGACCTGATGAGGGGATAGACCCACTGAAGTGGGAACCCCCTGAAGGAAAATGCCCTGGAAGGGAGAGACTTTCTCAAGTGACAGACCTGCTGAGCTCTCTTCCACAGTGTGGTAGACTTGTTGAGGAGAAAACCTACTGAGAGAACTTCTGAGAGAAGACTTGCTGGGAGAAGACACCCGCTACGAGGAGAGAGACACTCCAGAGAGATCTGCTGAAGTAAGAGACCAGATAAAGGGAGAAACCCGCTGAGGGAATACCCAGTATGAGGGGACCCACTGAGGGGAGAGACCCTCTGAGAGGATACCCGCTTGGGAAAAGACCCCACGGTGGGGATAACCCGTGGGGAGACCCGCTGGGCTGGACATCACCGATGGCCTCAGCTCTGCACGCTGATGCCACCCGGAGGAACCGCTGCAGCAGAGCGGGCTGGTGGCCTGGGGGCAGTTTTGGGTGCTTGTGGTTGTTTGTTTGTGGGGTCTTTGTCCCCTGGCGGGGCACGGCAGAGGGCGCGGGCGACACCCCGCTCCAGAGACACGACAATCCAGGCCGAACCCGGGCCCACCTGGGCCCCCTCAGCATCCGCGATGGGCCCAGCGCCCCGGGGCGGCGCGGCGCGAGCAGCAGCGCCGCCTGCCGGGCAGGGCGGGGGCGCTCCCTGCCCTCGGTCCCTCCCGGCCCGTCTGTGCCCTCTTCCCGCCGGTTCCCCCGCTCCGCTCCGCTCCGCCCCGCCCGGCTCCGTCTGTCTGCGGCGCGGCCGCAGCTGCCGGCACAGATACGGTGTCGGCGTGCCGGGAGAGCGCGGAAACACCTGTTTCCAACATGGGGAAGGTGGGGAGGGAGAGCGAACGGCACTGCCCGGCCCCGCCGCGGGCTCCCTCCCCTCCCGGCGGCTGTAACCCGGCCGTACAGCCCGTGGGATCGCCTTTCAGAAAGACCGCATTCCGTTTTTAACACGTTCGGCTGAAAAACGCGTCTCGACCCTCTCCTCATGCGTTGTTTTTTAGCACCGTGTCCGTTCCGGGAGGTGGTGGGTGGGGGGCACGCTCGGGGCTGAGGCGGCACCGACGGACCTGGGGCTTCGACAGCCCCGGGGCCGCCGACCCACCCGGGGGCTCTGACCGACCCGGCCCGTGCGGGGTCTGGGGTCGGGGCTGCGGGGCCGGGGCTGCCGGCGGTGCGGGAGCGGGTGCGTGCGGGGCTCCATGATTTCATCGTCGGCTGGCGGGGACCTGCCAAGAGCTGCTACGCCTCACTGCGATGTGTAGCTTTTTCCTGCCATTTTTTTTTTTTTCATAATAAAAGAGGGGGTGAAGCGGGTTTTTTTTTTTTTTTCCTTTT